TATATATAATCAACTCTTTCTATAAGGGTTTTTTGGCGAGCCAAACCGCACCTTAACCCGGTTTGATTGGGTTATGAGTTTGAGTTATGTGTTTGAGTTCTCGCAAAAATTCTTTTGGTTTGTTTATGTATGTTGTCTGTCTACGTCTATCCCTATTAGCTAGTCCTCTAACCTTAGAAAATTGACCTAAGAGAGTTACTTTTATTATTTTTAGTTTTACTGGTTATCTCTGCTTTTACCATTTTATTAAAATATGTATCGGTTACCTAAAAGGATTAAATTAATGTATGGATTATTATCAGATGATATGTTTTCAAATAATTTCACCACCTCAAATGCGATTAACGTTTGTGACTATCTGTTTGAAGCAAGTGGAGTCGATATGGAAGAAGTAAACATGTTTTGTCTTACAATTGGACATAAACATTGCCGATTCCCAAATTTCTATGAAGTATGGATAGATAATTATTTGTCATATGATTTTTATATGCACTTTCGAATGACAAGACAAACAAATGTAACATTAATTGATGCACTCGGCAATGTTTTGAGTCGTTCCCAGTACCGTGGCGGATACTTACCAATTCAATTAGAAAAGAAGGTACTCATTTGTTTATGGTATTTAGCTAAAGGCGATACCATGATATCGATTGGTGATCGTTTCAATGTAGCAACTTCGACAGTATTTAACTGTATTGATACTATTCTGCAAGGACTTTGTAATCTAACAAATAAATATATATTTTGGCCAACTGCAGAAGAATGTATCCAAGTGAGCGAAGAATTTTTTGCAGCCTGTGGATATCCAGGTATGTCTAGGTACACATTCAACTCAATTCAGTTTTTGAACTAATACAAAAAATAATGTAGATGTTATTGGTGCGATTGATGGATGTCACATAGATTGTACAATACCTCAGGGGCAACATGATAGCTATCAAGATCGACGTTTAAACCACTCCATAACATTACAGGGAATCAGTTCTTCATCAAGAATTTTTATTAATATATTTGTTGGGTTTCCTGGCTCAGTACATGATGCTAGAGTGAGTTAAACAAATAGATTAAATAATACGAGATGTCACTAATAGTGTTTGTTATAGGTTTTAAATGAAAGTGGTTTAATCAGGAGAATTCAAGAAATGGGGCCAAGTAAATACTTTTTTAATAAATATCATCTGCTTGGTGATTCAGCCTACCCTTGCAAATCATGGCTAATGACACCATATAGGTAAATATTATTTATAATTGAATAAGAAATGATTTATGTATCATGAAAAAACTACAACATTAAATGTCACATGCCATGGTTTGTACACGTATTGTATTTCAGGGATACTGGCAGGTTAACAAGGCAGCAGAAGCGTCATAACTATAGTTTAAGTAAAGGAAGAGTAGTGATAGAACATGTTTTTGGCCAATTAAAAGGAAGATGGGCAATTTTAAAACATATAAATACATATTCCATCAAAAAGGCAGTAGAAGTAATTACATCCTGCTGTGTTCTTCACAATTTCTGTCTTTTTGTCAATGATGATTTTAATGATATACGGAATGTGACTCCCGAGTTACCTGATGCAGAAGATCCTCCGGCACAGAGTGATGTGGAGCAAAGTGGTCTGTATAAACGGGATGAAATTTGTTCTGAAATGTAAAAGTAGTACCTACCTACATAATCTATACCTAATTTTAATTTTGTTAAGTATATAAAACTTTATACTATTTTTAGGGTTTATTAACTTCAAATTTAAATAAAAAATAATCGTGTGTTCATGCTTTTATTTTCAATAAATAGGTAGATCGTATATCCTTACCTATAACTAAAATACAAAATAAAACTTAACAATTTACGATCACAAATGAATCACAGGTATAAAAAATAAAACTAAGTTCATGCATTGACATAATGAAGACAATAAAATAATTTACAAAAAAAATAGGTCCAAAAAACCTTAGTCAGAATCTGACGATCTTCTCCTTTTTTTGGATTTACTATTAGTTTTCACAGCAATTTCGAATAAATCTATAAGTCTGTTCCTTTCATTATTTTGTTCCTTTAATAAATCATTTTGTTCATTCAACACATTTATCAACTGATTGAATTGTAAATCATGGCGGACAGAATTTTCTGCATGTACGTTCTGTATACACTGTATAATTTCTAGTTTATTCGTTTTCGGTTTTACTGTTTTATTTATATTTTTAAATCTAGAGCTGCTACTGCCCGCTATTTCAGATATCTCAGTTTCAGGAACAGTATTTTCAATATTTTGTTCCACTGTGTCACTGTTGCTCTGTTCATCAATTTCTGTACTGACATTATCAATTATATTGTTATACATGCTGGGAGAATCAAACGAATCTATACTAAACTTAGGAAATATTTTATCTTTCCCCCCTAATATTGCATGTAATAATGCAAAGTTATCTGGTGGGTCCTTCTTCTCTGCTCCAGTCTGATTAACATGTTTAATGAAGGTAATGTAGATCTTCGTTAAGTTTTGAAATTTTTGCCTACATTTTTCTCCGCCTACTTTCCCCAATCCAACAAAATATCCAGCTTCAGACATTTCCTTTGCTATATTCTGCCAAATTCCTACTTTGACAGTTTTTTTGTCATTAAATTTATTTTCATATTTCAATCTCAATTGCAACAATTTTTCTGTGGCCTCTAAATCAATTGCCGTTTGTTTTCCTCTCTTTGCCCAAATGTCATTTTTAAATGTATTGCTGTTATCTTCATTTTCCTTATTGTTTGTTTGGAGATCTGAAATATTTTACCCTACTTTTTAATTTATAACAATAAAATGATAAATGATAGCTATCAAAATAAGCTTAGTAGGGTACATACATACCTTCATTATTTTTAGTTATTCTAACTATTTCTACTTCACCAACATCTATTTCATGTATACCGAAAGATTCCAATTCTTTGTTACGCAACATTTCTTGGAAGTATTTTAATGTAAATGCATCATCTAAAAGGGAGTGAAAACTGAAAAATAATTGCTGAATTTTTAAAAATACATAATTACCTACCATAACGTAACAGATTAATATTTGTTAATTCATCTTCTATTACAATCTTTTTGTTATTAACTTTAAACACTACTTTATTGTCACATTCCATTATTTATAATGAATTAATAACAATTCATCAAACATCCCTAAATTTGCCGGGTGATTGGTGAAACAGAGGAGGAATTAGAAAGAAAAGAGACACAAATATTAACTCTAAGTCTAACACACCTCTCAAGTACGGTTTGCCGGTTTGGCAAACCCAATCAAACCGGGTTAACTTTACTTTTCGCGAAAATGACAAACCGCAGCAAACCACAGTTAACCGTGTTAGCGGTTTTCTCGCCAAAAAACCCTTTATGATACATATAACTAACTTTTTTATTACAGAATATAAACAAAGTTATATACACAACTAAGTCATTATTTGTATTATATGTATAACTATTCCTTATGTGCTGTTGATCTGGTCTCTTTTTATAGTCTCTCATTTGCATGCCGCGACATGTTTTAATGCCCTCCCCATTATATTTTTCTGGGCAATTTTTTGTGCAATGTGCTTGTGAAATTCCAGCTGTAAATTTGTAGAAAAAGTATGTTAATAATACATTTACATTGTAGACGAGTGACAAAACAAAAATTTTCATTAAATACATTTAACGAGACTATTCTAATTTCATGAACTATGGATTATAATCTGTTGATATTAAATTTAATTCTAATATTCTAATAGATAATACGTAATTCTGCCTACGATTTATAATGTAATCCTTATAACTCACAATGTTGGTACAAATATTACAGACAGAGAACTATAATAAATTAATTAAATTTATGGGATACAATCCTTTGTCAGAACACCTATATACAACACATTCAAAACTAAAAATTATAGATTTGAACATATTATGTAGATTTGGTGATACCACTTATACACATCTATTACAAATAGTGATAAAAACTATTCTAATTTTTGAATGGTATTAGGCTCTATATAAAAAATATTTGAAAACATGTTTTTTTAATGCGTTCTTTAGGCATTATATAATTATTGCATGATACAAACAGTAAGAACAAAATTAGTTAATACTATATACGATTCTAACCTATATGTTTATTCTATGATATTAATACCTTAATACCAAAGGTAATTTAAATACTTACTTCTGCCAGCAGGTGGTTGATGCACGTCACTTAACTATTTTAACAAGCTTTAAATTTCATTTTCCACTTTTCAAATTAATAAAAACGTCATTGAGTCACGCACTTATAAAACAAAGAAACACAGAAAATGGCGAGATACGGGTCATGTCGTCAATATGTCATACTGCGCATGCACCATGCACTGTGCAAAGCCAAGAACCATCCCAGGATGGGATCACTCTAGAATTTGCCTAGGATATCCCAAAATTGGAGATTATTCGGCTTTTAATATCTTCATAGGATATTTCCAGGACATCCTGTTTGGATTTACCTGGGATATCCCCAACTAGGATATTGATAGGATCTACTTGTCTTATTTAAATATCATCAGGATATCCTGAGGAATGACATCCCCGATTAGGATATATAGGACTAAATGAGGATATCCCAGGGACGTCATGTGCTGTGTGGGTAAAAAATAAATAAAACTTACTAATATAATAGGTTTGAATTACCTTTTAGACATTATTTGATATGCTAGATGCGATATGGTGTCCTTTTAGGGACATAGGTTGTCTTGTCAGATATTAAGAGTCCATCGCGCGCTTGAAATAAACCCATTTTAAGGGTTTGGCCCATAACACATATTTGGAAAACGAATAAACATAGCGGCCCAAATAAAAAAACAATCGAAAGACAAAGTGTTTTCCTACTGCTGTCTTGTAACAGTTTTTTCAAAAGTGGTTTCTAATTGTTTAAATTTAAAGAGTAAACTATGCAAGAAATCGTCATATTTACAATGTATTTACGTAAAAATAAAGGCTTAAATCAAAAATTGCTTGCAAGAGGGAAGTGGGTCTATCTTTTAGCTTTGCAATGATACCAAAATTATATTGATTTGATACAAATTACTTGTAATTTCAGCATTGCTCATAGAGGGCGCCACTTACGACCAATTTTACCGAAAATTTAGTTAATAACTTTTTACCCTGTATATCTAACATGAAACTTGATTCAAAACCTGAAAGAGCTATCATTTTTCCATTAATTATGTACTCTTGTTTCATTTCGGTATCTCGATCCGTTTTCGAGAAAAATCGATTTAACGAACACTATGTTTTGATAATACGCCTAAAAAAATATAGTTTCACAAATTTTCAAGTTCCTAACCTACATATTTTCAAAATAATCCCAAAAAAAACGATTTAAAATTTTAACTTTCAACACCCCGTATTTCCGAAACTATTAACTTTCGGATTAGGCACGTTTGCGCCAATGGTCACCATTTCACGTGTAGTATCTTCAGTTTTCGATTTTCCCATTGTTAATGAATCACCCTGTATGTACAGTGCCTTCATAAATGTCAGAGTCCCACGTGACCAGATTTGTTTTAGCACTCAATAAATTTGACTTTCTTAAGTTGGTATTTCAAAAATTATCACACAAAAGTTACAAACTAGGACCCTCATAGATCTAATAGTAGATTTCTCCCAAATTTCGAAAAAAATCAATATCTAAATACTTGAATTTAAAAAACCAAATTTTGGTATACAGTGTGAGTATACCAAGAGCATTAATCGACAGTAAGTAAAGTTCAATTCAAGAATTTTAAAGAGTTGATAAGGGATGATGCACCATTAAAATGTGAAAGAATTGTAGCCGTGTTATTTAAAATCATCGAAAATTCAAAAGTTGGCTATGAATTTAAACGTCACACTTGAACATCAGGAAAAAAGTTGGAATGAGAGTAATTTAATAGAAAAACAAATAAGAAATAACATACACAATACCTCTGCAGCTGAAACAAGCTTCATCAGTAAAGAGAATTTTCTTTTGAAAATTGTTTGTTTTTGTATTAAATTGTTCTTATTCCAACTTTTTTCCTGATCATCAAGTTTCGTAGTTAACTTTTGAATTTTCGATGATTTTAAATAACAGGTACAATTCGTGTTATTAGTTATTCATGTTTTTGTTGAAAACAATAAGTTTTTTGAAAACATCCAAAAGTTAGAAAAGTTTTAAAATAAAGTAATAATTTTCTAAGTCCGCCAACGGTTTAAAATTCCTTCACATTTTAATGGTGCATCATCCCTCGTCAACCCTTCAAAATGCTTCTATTAAACTCTATTTACTGTCGGTTGATGCTCTTGGTACACGGTCTTTCTAAGTTCAGGTATAACCGAGATAATTTTTTTCGAAATTTGAAACCCCACTTTCAAGGCCTATAACTTCTTAGGGATGTAACTTAGTATAAAGGTAAGTTGCATTAAATCAACATATTTTGGGTTTCCCTACATACCCCTGCTGTCGGTTCTTATGCGAAACACCCTATATAAATTTGTGTAAAGAAATATTACTTTCCTCTAGTCAACCCCAAATATAATACCTACTATAAAATTTCTTCAGTTTATTTTGTAGATTTATTTTCTACCAGACATTGATTTTATTAAAAATAACAACATATTTTAATTAATTATGTCCTCAATTTTATTATATTGGTGGTAAATTTCGTTTTGTTCCGTTTCAAAAGGTCTCCAAATTGCCATGTTGTGATAATAGTAAATAAAATATCCCTCTTATTTCTCCCTTTCGCAATTGTAATATATGAATGATTGTGAAGTGAATGAGAAGGTGCCTATAATAAATAAAAATTACCTGAATCACCAAATTCCGCATTGCTGCATTGCACTGCTGGGCAATTTATCAACCACTTGTCAACTACAGAGATTTATTGCCCTGTAGCCCAATGCAGCTGTTTGTTCTTCAACTGGGCATATATATTTCTACCACCTCCACGTTTAGTTCGACCAGACCTGTATATGGGTATGTCTAAATAAATTTGGGAACATGTTTTTCAAATATTTCAATGCCGAGTTGCTACGTCAGTGACCGAACCTAGTATACAGGCTGTTACAAATTTGCTTCTCACTACTGGGATCTCGGAAACGGTAAGAGGTACGAAATAACTTAAATGGGGGCAATGTTGCGTAATCAGGGGTCAGGGGATCAACATTATGTATCTAAAAAATCAAGGCTAACATGATTAGTTTTTGAAATATTTGAAAAAAACCGAAATTTTGGAAATCCGTTTTTGTTTAATTTCAGCCTTGTGGTGATATTGAAAAAAGAAGAACACTTTCTCATGGCTACTTTTTGCCCTCCGTCGAATGGCATAATCAATTTTTATATATAACGTTTCGTCTCCAGGACCATCATCAACTTCATTTTTTTAAATACGACCCTAGAAATTTTATTACATTTTTTGCTAGCCTTCATGATCCTCAATATTGTACTACTGCCTCAGCCCGAACGAGTTTCAGACGTTTGGTCTCGAAAAATTCATCTTCAGTGTATTCGTTTCAAATTTATCGAAATTTTTTATTTAAGATTTCTTTGAATTATCGTACACTGTAAGTGTCGTTATACCCTGTGAAATCCATCTAGTTATTTAAACTATTACCACCACGCGTTACAATAAAACATTTATTATTATTATTATTAACTATTACCATCACTTGTCGTACATAACTCAATAAGTTGTTGCATCAAAATTAAAACATTAGATACAATTTTAATTTTATTATGACAAATTAATTCTTAAAAATGCATATGAACAACCAAAACACCAACTGAATATTCTTTAAAAAATTTCAGTAAATGTTCAAAAACATTTTCGTTTTGGCAAATGTTGAAAATGAAGATCAGCATAGTATTATCGGAATTTAAATTATATCTGTAACCGCAACTATGAAAGAGCATGACAGATGTATTTGTATGAATATCCTAAAAAAAATAGATTGGAATTTGTATGAATTTTGAGTACTCAAGAAGCCTAAAAATAACTATGGACCGGGAAATAAAACTAATAATTTTTTATTTGAATGCGTGGTGGTAATAGTTTAAATAACTAGAAACAAAACGTCTGAATCTGGTTCCGGCTGAGGCAGTACAGTATTGGGGATCATGAAGGCTTGCAAAAAATTTCTAGGGCCATATTTAAAAAAATGAAGTTGATGACGGTTCTGGAGAGACAAAACGTTACATATAAAAATTGATTATGCCATTCGATAGAAGGCAAAAAGTGGCCATGAGAAAGTGTTCTTTTTTCAATATCACCTCAAACAAGGCTAAAATGAAACAAAAACTGATTTCTTTGTATCTCTTACCGTTTTCGAGATCCCGTAGTGAGAAGAGAATTTATAACAGCCTGTATACTGCCAACCTCATAGTTCTTCAATTGATATCAGAAAGATTATAAAAGTAGATGCATATCTGTTTTAAAAATTATATGGTTATTTTATTTAAAGGAAAAACCCATTTTCTACCATAATTAAAAAATCACAAATGAACAGTCATTTCCATATATGCCTTGGGTTCTAGACAATCGTTGAAAACTTAGAAAAACATAAAATAACATTAATTTCTTAAATGGCCAGAGATCTAATTATAACTCGAATATATTCCTACCTTTAAAAATATAACACCATAGAGGAATAAAATACTGAAAAAAAAACTCAATATAAAATTTATACATTTATTATATATGTCTACTTTTTAGCTTTAACTCCAGCTTGCTGTGCTTTGAGTACTTTAACGACAATTTTTTGTTCTTCAATAAGGAACGCCCTAACAATCTTTTCCTTAACACACTTGTGGCATAAGACACCTCCATATGCACGTTTTACAGTTTTCTTGCGCCTGCACAGACGTGAACGTTCTTGAGGACGAGCTGGAATGATACCCCTAAGCTTATCTTTGCACTGTCCGCATCTGGGGATCTTCTTAGGCTTCTTTAAGTATTGGTAGACTAATTTGCCTCCTGGTGTACGGACACTGAAAAAAATACACTCTACTACAAACTACTGAAATATGAAAAAAAAAGTCTACCCTCAATTGATATCCAAATGTTTTAACTGTACCAGATGTCATGCAATAAAAAAAGTAATAAAAGTATGGTCTAGCATTTTAAAATCATATTTTAATACTCCTTCCAAATCAGTAGAAATGAAAAGTTAATTTTCAATTTTCACATTAGACTACAAAAGATCTAAAAATTGTCTATACAGGGTGTATTTAAATGAAGCAACACAATTGCTGTCAGATTTTCCTGAGGTAAAAAATATGATAATTGGGCCAAATATGCATCCATCCAAAGTTGCTTCTTAGGCATGTAACAGAGTATTTAAGTGTTTAAAAAACATCAGAATTACACACATATCTAAAAAAATATTTGATGTACATTAATGAAACTAGGGCTGGCAACAGTGGTGTTAACTACCATCTGTTAGTTCGAAGCAAAGCCTCGTGCCACGCAATTAACTTAATTTATACACAATTACATCATCTTTAATAAAAATCCCAGAATATCAACAACACTGTTTTGAAAATTTGGTAAGTTCTTTTGGTTCGCAATGAGCGGTTTACCAACTTTTTAACATCATCACAAAGTGAAAATAGATAAAAAATATGAGACATTTTTTCATTTTGGCCTCATGTGTCCTAAAAAAATTTTTAAAATACAGGTACTTTGTCATCATGGGTCACCATGCAGACCCGTTGCAGACCAATATTTACATGAACTTTTTAAATTAAAATTAGTCAAAGATTCCCCTTTAAAGTTTATACAAGTAAGTACTTAATAAACACCCTGTATATGTGCAGCTTAACTTGCGTGTACTTTAATGTTTATGTAATTTCTAATTGACTGAGATTGGCGTTTAGAATTCTGCTTTTTTTCTGGGTGAAGTCCGGGAAGAAACTAGTTCATCTTTGAATAAATTTTTGGACCCTTGGACTCCGCCTATGATCACATCACTAACTGAAAATCTCAAATCCAACTCCAAATATACTAATTATTAGAATATTTTTTTCTATTTGTCCACTAAGCTGATAAACATAAACAAGGCTATTAGATAGAACCCAAATAAATTAATACTTATTTTCAAATTAAAGACACTGGTTTAGAAATGAAAAACATGTCTTCAAAATCTTGAAATAATATGGTTTTAATTGGTATTTTAAATATATCAATTATTACTTTTATAAGTACTTAATTTGTCACACAACTTCACAATGATGGTTTCCTTGCACTTTTTTAATCAACAAAGACCGTAGGAATGTCTAGCAAAGGATACGGATTGGATTTACAGAATCCTCCCTAAAAAATTGTTACAGGAATTGCTAACAGTTATGCCATCCCATCAGTGTATCATCACATATTTACAGATTTTTCTAATTTTTTACTTAATGTAATACACGTAAAACCATAAAACTGAATTTATGTGCAAAGCCTTTTAAATTTACAAAATTATATCTGTTACTGAATAACTATACATCGGTACAATATATATTTTAACCAGACCTGATAAATTTGTGGATGTGTTAATGTGAGATTAATGTAATGTTATTCTTGAGATGAACAAAAAAAATACAATATCAACTAGCTGCAATGTTTCGGTTCAGTTAACCTACAGATTCTTAAATTCAAATGGTCGGAACATAACCTCAACAGTTTACTTTTTAGCGTTGACCTTAATGTACACTACTGTTATTGACAACTGTTTAAAATTATTTCCATTATGCAAAAAATCTAAATATGGAAAAATGTACTCACATGTGTCTTCTGTTTGATTTTGTATTATAAGACAATCGTCTTCTGAAAACCAGTCGTTGCACCATTTTGCTCTCTAAAATAGAATAATTCACATCAATACTGCAACATATTTATACATATAATATTTATGGCATTCCCTCTAAGTTTATATATCGCTTGATTTAACTTTTTTACATTTTAAAAAGCAGATGATTAAGGATAACATTTTGTTTTACTAACCTGTCCAAAAGCAAAAATGGAAAAGAATAACTAAAAATGAGCATGCGCTAACCGTATTCGACAGAAAATAGTTTGACAGCACTGACAGCCGACAACAGTTAATGTGGTGACATCTATGATAACAATGATATAGTGAGATGTGCGATTTATGTTCTCAAAATCGAAATCAAAATGGTTTCACTTTTTGAGAATTATGAACAACAATATTCTGTTCTTACAGCAGATATCACAGCTCAAGTAGGACTTTTAACAGCTTCAGCCACTAGTAAGATTTTATTTATTTTGTACTCGTTTGTTTAACATAAACAACCTACTTTGTTATGCATACTGTCATAATTGTGAATATCACTTGTTTGTTTTTAGAAGACCGTCGCCAACTAATCTCTAACATTGAAAAACATGTGGAAGAGGCACAAGAACTGGCAAGTAGCCTTCATATCCCACAATAAACATAATAAATGTTGTTTTAAAATTTTAGTTGGAACAAATGGAACTGGAGGTTAGGGAGGTCGAATCATCTAAAAGGCAAAGGTGTAGAACTAAGCTAGATTGTTACCGTGCCGAACTAAAGCGATTGACACTGGACTACATTAAAGCTCGGTCGATAAAACAGGGTGCTTTATATGACAGCGCGGAAGAATTAAATGATGTTAGAATTTCATCGGACCAAAAACAGAGACTCCTCGATAACTCTGAAACAATAGAAAGAACTGGAAAAAAGCTTGAGGAAGGCTATAGAGTTATAGTTGAGACACAAGAAATTGGAACGCAAGTATTAAAGAACTTAGGGGATCAGCGGGAGACGATTCAGAGATCTCGAGCAAGAGTAAGTTGTAGGTAAATATATTCCAAAATATGTGTATGTTGTTTTTTTCAGTTACGAGAAACAGATGAGGAAGTAAATCGATCAGGGAGAATTATTAATTCTATGATAATCAGATCCCTCCAGCAGAAAGTGATACTTTTTACAGTTTGTGCCTGTTTTCTCATAGCAATCTGTTTAGGAATATATCTGGCATATAGCAGATCCTAAACGTGTTCATTGATACAAATAGATGTAAATATGTATTTAGTAATAAACCTAGCAAATAAGATTAAATCATTGTGGCATATTTTTATTTTTAATTTATTGTTACATTCCTTTCCTGATATATTGTGATTGTTTTATGTATTATTTTAATTAGGTTGTATATTTCAAATAAATATAGCACTGATTTTAAAATGTTATTGCATTAAAATATGTATTTAAAAATTATTTGAAATAAATGTTTTCAATTTATTTTATTTTCCTAATCATTCTCTATAACTAAAGACCTACCTGAATTAATCTAATTATTTAATAAAAATTAAAGGAAGAAAAATTAAGGGAAAGAAATTGTACAAATCAAATAGAAAACACAGCCAAAATAGAAAATATTGAAAATGACTAGAAAAAAAAATTATAAGAATGTTAAAAGATATTGACTCAAACATTTGAATTTGAATGTAATAAATAGTAATAGAAATTTGAGAACTATTGGGCTGGGGGGACCAGTCCAACCATTCGCTGAATACGGCCTATGTTAACGTATAAATATAGGACATACAAAAGGATATAATATTTTTTTGAAGAACTTTTGTTTGAATAGTTTAGTTTTATAGTCTCAATTAGGTACACAATTAGATTTTTACTGATTTATTGTTTGTTAGTTTACGAAAATTATAAACAAATATAAAATTTCAAAAGGAAATAGTTATAACAAAAATAATTGTAACTATGTACCTTCATATACCTAAATGCCAATAACAACCTTTGGATTTGGAAAGAAAAATTTGTCGAAAGCGGGACCGTCCGGCATTGATAGGATATCAATATCGAATAATTATCGAAAATTAAAACAAATGAAATTAAAATCAAAAATGAAAACTTTTCCTTGTCCTTGTTTAATACGAATTATACAAGTCACAGGACCTTACGCATCAGAAACTAGATCATGTAGTTTAGTCTCTTACAAATAGATGGCGCGAGTATTCAGTCTAGTATATGTCTTCTTGATTTAGACAGTGATCGAATGGTGTATTTGTGTGATTTCTAATGAAAAGTGGTTAAATTTTTGTGTTTAAAATGGTCGATTCCCGGGAATCGGGAGTGAAAAGTGTATTCTTTCTGAATCATTCATCTGCCTCGAGCTTCGTTCAAACATGTAAGTAAATTTATTAAATTAATTGGTTATGTTATCATATGCGTCATTTTCTGCTTAATTTTGACAGTAGGCTCTGGAAATGTTTATATTTTTATTAGTTTCTAGGATTTTGGAACCATTTGAGTGAAAATTCTACTCATAATAAATTATCTAATATATTCTTTAGTTAATAGTAAATTAATGATTAAATTTCGCAGATAAGATTAGATTATACAAAAAGATAATACCTAGTACGTAATATTATAGTACTTGAATATGCAGCACAAATTACTTAAAAACTGGTATTTTCAGCCCACATACTATATTTACATTTTTGCAAAGAATGTTAGTATCATTTGTAGTGTCAGCAACTATGCAAATTATCTACCTATCTAAGTAGATGTTTATTTTAAATACGAAAGTTTGTAGTCTGTATTGTAATTGTGAACTGAATCATATACCTAAGTGATTAAAACAAATACAACCTTAATTAATGTAACATGAAATCATTTACTATTTCAAAAACAATTATTGCACTCCTGAATTAAAATCAATAGGAATATTTTTTAGATAAAAGATAATCTACAGGCATGTTGTTACTGCGGAAACACTTAAGGGGTTTTTGCGAGGGCTTTTGTTATTTTTATTATGTTGGGTGTGATATTCACGTGCAAATATCTAACTACTTCTTATTACACATCTCGTGATGTTACTGATGTTTATAAATTTTTAAGAGATGAATTAACTGTTTTCCATTTTTTAATTGCCTTTATCCCACCGCACACTTTATCCCAAAAGTCAGACTCAATTTCAAATAAGACTAGAAAAGAAATAAAATAAACCTTTGCAATTCAGTGCAAATAAAGTATACCTATGCTAGATAATACCTAGATAAAGGTATTAGAAAACATGTTTTCTGTTGTCAATTATGTTTTAAAAATATGTATATTTAATGCTTACCTATCATTTTAAATTAATATATATATGGATCTCTCGTAACATACTCTAGCGCACTGTATATATCTTTTTTACGTATTTCCAAAAGGTTTAGATAGGTAGGTTTTTTTGTTTAAATTATTTAATTGAACCTAATTATAGGTAAGTAATATCATCATTCCTTAAGGTATGTATCATTGGCTGAAATATACCCACCTACTTTTTTTCTCTGTTTTTGTATTTTGCTCGGTAACTTGCCATTTGTGGAATTGGTAGATACCTACACTGCCCTACTTCGGAAAAAGACCGTATGTGCAGTTTTGTGACAAATTGAGATAATTACAATTTCGAAATCTACATCGCATTATGCCCATCTATAAATATAAAAAAATATCGTGTTTGTTTCTTTAAATTTAAAAATTTGTACATTTTAAATTTCTAATGTGTCACTCTTATTTTCTTCGTTTTTATATACTAGAAAAAAACACCGTATGTGTCTGATGCAGACCCTGTATTTCATTAAGAGGTACATACATAGTATAAACGTAAGCGTCGAAATACGATGTTTTTAACAAATTAAATTCGTATGTGTTCACATGCGTTGTTTTCAATTATATTATATTAAACAGTATTTGCAACACAATATATTAAAAATTGTAAATTATTCTCTGAAAACATCCAAAATATCATGTATACTAATACGATGTATACAGCGTATCCCACTAGTGCGGAAAAGTCCAATATCTATGTTAAAATGAGGAATATATGAATTTTTCGTATTACTGTGTTGCCACATTTCTCGGAATGTACAAATTAAAAATATATTCAACTATACAGGGTGTTCCTGGACAGACACCAACTTTCGTTTTTTAAATGGAAACACACATTTTTTATATTTTTTTCGGATTCTACATCAAAAATAAAGTGTACTTTGTGTAGAATAGTTCTATTCAAATATTCACAGTTTTTGAGATATCTCGCTTGAAAGGTTTTTCTCGGTTTTTCTAGTCGATATTGGCTGCTTACATTTTCTGATACTGACAGGTTGTACTACTAGCTACTAAGCCCATTCTTTATCAGATGTTTAGTTAAGGATGACTCTTCCGAATCATGCTCCAAAAACTGGCCTGCGTTATACAGGGTGACCAAAATATCATGTCAAAATTGCCAATTGAAAAATTGAAGAATCTCGAATTTTTTAAATGCAACCCCCTCCCCTGTATATTTTCATACCATGAGATGCAGAATTAAATTCTCTACAACTTTGCTATACCCGCTCCTATACCAAAATTCATTAGTTTTTCATGAAATCTCATTTCCATGAAAAAATGCGAAGTTTATAAATAGCTTATATGTATGTAAAATAACGTAGTAGGCTCCTTCTCAAAGGATAATCTGGAAAATTTTCGATTCACATAAGATTTAATAGAAAAGCGACAGTAATAATAGTGAAATGAATTACTCTAAAGAAGAAGTAAGTAGTAAATAAATAATAGAATAATTAGTAAAACTCATGGTAACTGTTTATTGACAAGTATTTACCAATTTTCGTCGTAGAATTGCTCAATGTCTAGAGAAAATTGACATACATTTTGAGCGGTTACCTGTTAATTACTAATTTAACTAGCTTTATTACTTTTGTTAGAAATGCACGATGTTAATTTACTGTTTTGGATACTGCATGCGTGTGTTCTTGTTGTCTTCTCATAATTTGCATTTGTTGTTCTTTCAAACCTCTCCTTCAGTTTTACAAAACACTTTATACGAGGATATCTTTGTAAATCTGGATTAAGTATTAGTTTGGTAAATACTTGTCAATAAACACTTACCATGATTTTTACTAATTATTCTATTATTTATTTACTAATTCTTCTTTAGAGTAATTCATTTCACTATTATTACTGTCGCTTTTCTATTAAACCTCATGTGAATCGAAAATTTTCCAGATTATCCTTTGACAGGAGCCTACTACGTTATTTTACATACTTATAAGCTATTTGTAAACTTCGCATTTTTTCATAGAAATGAGATTTCATGAAAAACTAATGAATTTTGGTATAGGAGCGGGTATAGCAAAGTTGTAGAGAATTTAATTCTGCATCTAATGGTATGAAAATATACAGGGTGTTGCATTTAAAAAATTCGAGATTTTTCAATTTTTCAATTGGCAATTTTGACATTTTGATTTTGGTCACCCTGTATAACGCATGCCAGTTTTTGGAGCATGATTCGGAAGAGTCATCCTTACTAAACATCTGATAAAAAAATGGGTTTAGTAGCTAGTAATATAACCTGTCAGTATCTATCAGAAAATGTAAGCAGCCAATATCGACTAGAAAAACATTTCAAGCTAGATGTCTCAAAAACTGGAATATTTGAATAGAACTATTCCACCCAAAGTACTTACCCTTTATTTTTGATGTAGAATCCGAATAAAATATAAAAAATGTGTGTTTCCATTTAAAAAACAAAAGTTGGTGTCTGGCCAGGAAAAGTGGAACACGTTGTACAGTAAAAAGAAAAATTCATATATTCCTCATTTTAACATAGATATTGGACTTTCCCGCACTAGTGGGACTCTTCTGAAGATGTAGCACATACTGCACATATACGGCATTTTTACCTAGCAAAATTTTAAATTTATTAAGACAAAACAACATATGTGACGCTGTTTTAATGAAATTGCAATGTTTTCTAACATTTTTGAAATACATTAAAAAATATTTGTTTTTCATTTGCCGTTACCAAAAAAATTAACTTATTACCTTAATTAGTAAATGAAGTATGCCTAATATCTCGTTGCAATTTTCTCTAAACTGTCATATGTGCACATACGGTCTTCTTCCGAAGTAGGGCAGTCAAAAAACTAACCCTTACACCTATATGATCGGTCATAGGTAACTTTTGAGAATATTGTTTGATTTTATGTATTTTCCTCATAAATAATTCTTGGCTGATATTTTTGACCCAAGGTTTTGTTTAATTAATTTTTGTTCTTATCATATAGATACTATATTGAGACTTAAGCAGGTACATTGGTACATTGAGAGGTACATCCCTACAACAAAAATTACTTAATACATATTTGGATATGTGCGGCAACG